CCCCCCCCCCCAACCCTTAATCTTCCACTTTTTCTAGGAGGGATTCTTGTCCCTAAATGTGGGCAGGAAAGGAGGAATCAGTCAAGGTTCCTTATGCTCTATGCTCCCACCAATCTCTCATCCTCCTTGCCATGAGGCTGGATGGCCACCAGGGAACCTGCAGGGATCCTATTCTAGCTCCTCCTTGGTCTAGGCACATGGCCTAAGGCTCAGAAGGAGAGAAATTTCCACTGGATCAAGGGCAGAGCAGGTTCTGATCTGAGAGAGGTGATAAGCCCAGTAGAGCCTGGGCCTAAGTAGACAGGTAGAAGTCAGAGCAACTGGGGAGAAAGGCTCAGGTCTCCAGTGGGACCTACCAGGCCTCCTCCTACAAAGCTGTTTACTGGACTCCCTATTCCCATAGAGATGAAACTGGTAGCCAGTCCCCAGCTCCTTGCCCCTGGCGGCTACCTCCCTTTGTGAGAAACAGGAAGTGAGGACCTTTGTCAGCTCAGCTGCACCGTCTACATTAAATATTTATCTTGGAGTCCAGGTCAGAGCCCTAGAGAATAAGAGACGCTCGCTGCTAGTGAGAGAGGGTATGGCCAGGATTCCTGGAATTGGAAGATCTTCAGCTTCACCATCTTCGGAGAACAAGGAAGAACGTGAACGAGATGTGGCCCTTCTTAGTCGCAAGGATTCTGACAGGTGGGAAAAGACTGGTGACAAGGGAAATGGGCACATATTTTATCCCTGAGGGAGATAAGAGGATGCTGCCCAGGGTGGGTAAGCAAGGATCCAGGCTTTAGGGGCAGGAAAATGCCCTGCTGCTTGTCCTCAAGAAGTCCCAGAAGGCCTATGCTCCTTTCTGCAGCTGTCTTCTGTGGGCGGGGCTATCCATCCCCTCCCTCCCCTCAGCTTTCCCGGAGAACCATGGATTGTTGGAAGGGGCCTTAAAGGTGAACCCGTTCATTCAGCTCCCTGCTCGGTGCAGCAATTGCTTTTATAAAGATGCCCCATAATCGGTAGGCTTGGAACCCCTGTAATCATTCTAAAAGTTCTTTGGAAACCTTGGGCCTGCTTCCAGGTATGCACCCAAGGGTCTCACTTCTGCTAGTGCAGCCGGTCTGTTTCCCCACAGCAGTCCCGCAAACACTGGAAACTAGCAGCATAGCATGCCTGTCTCTCAAGCTTCTCCACAACCTAAACATCCCTCCTTCCTCTTTCACATGCAATATTGTTTCAAGCTGGTTCATCACACTGGGATAGCGCTTTTAACTGAATTGAGAAAAGATAAAGCTAATAGCATCAATAATGGTGGGATTAAAATTTTTTTTTCATCTTTCTCCATTCTCCCTCCCTTCTCAAATTGGAGTGGAACGATGTGCTTGGAAAACACTCTAAAGTGCATGGTGGCCCCAGGGCACCAATCTTAAACCCATAGGTACACATAAATGTTTTCTTATTTTTATAATTTATCACTGATTACTCTCAAAATGGATCTGAAAT